TTTAATTTTGTTTTCACTGCTTGTGCTTTATGTAAAGTTGTAGATTTCTTCTAACTGATTCCACACCATGACCTGCGTGTCTTCTGTTGAATTCATAATTACTGGTCCTTTTATTTAGAATGTCGTTTTCACATTTATTTGCATAGGTTATAATCAGTACCTTTTCCATGATTGTATGAAGTGCCTTACGATTATCCCAAAGGCAAAATTTGTGCATTTGACTAAATGTAAATTTTTGCAAGAGGACTGGGTATGCGAAAAATGGCGCACTAATGGCGGCAAAGAATGGACAATCGGAAGGGAAAAGTGCAGCATAGGATGGCCTCGTTTCCCATGTCTTACATTCCTTTCGTATCATGAGAGCACGTTCTGTTGCATTTCAAGGCATTCGTGATTGCATGAAGAAATTTGGTTACATCGCGAAAGTGATAAGGGAGGACAATGAGTGGTTCGTGCAACCATGGCTTAAATCCTCCGCTTGGGCTGAAAACGGTAAGATTTGAAAAACGAAGCACCTATCCTTGTGCATTTCTCGATTGCGTGGGAAATGCCTAGCCGCTAAAGACCAGGTTGGAAATTAAATATTATGCTTTACTGCTCTTTTGGGATTCATTTTGATTGATGTTACCACTGGAGAGTAGAAAATCAAGTGGTTATTTTAGCAATTCATGGATGGTACACTATTTCTATTTTATATCCTTAGATTAAACTTGACTAATAAAGAAGGGAATGTGGGATTGGATGTATGAACGATGAATAGATGAATAGGTGGGCAAATGAAGATAAGATGATAGGGAATGCAGCGCATACGTCGGTCATTAATATCTAAAAAAGCAACATTTGGCCTCGACTTTTCTTTAGTTGATCTTAAAGAGCGTTATCTCCTCCAGCTATATCACTTATCTGAATGTCTGCTTGTCTCTCCACCCGTTAGCCATGTCGCACCAAGTACAGACGATGTGCAGACCATGAGTATTCCACATCCTTCTTCTCAAGCACTTGGTACCGCCTCTACCATCGGCTTGGTGAGAGTGGAGGGGACACATCCTACCGAAATCGGTTAGACGGTTTAAGTTTAATCACAATCTGCGTATTTACTCGTTTGTGTCTCTCTACGCAGACTCTCCCGAACACGCATGAGCTTCCCAACGTTAATATCTTCGTGTGTTTCACCATTAGTGTACAACTTTGATGGATACCTCTACATGTTAGCAAAATGAGAGTGTCATTTTTACCAAACTGGAACATCTTCCTCGAAAGTGGAGCCACTGAAGAACAGTTCAATGATACCACACGCCATAGTGTGTGGCCATGACCTCCAAGTTTACACTCACGACTCGCGCATATGACATCTGCTGGGCCGGACACGCTTTATCAGGACAACAGCTAGCGGTGGTGG